AGGCATCCAGCTAGGCCGCAACCATAAGTTACTAATGTTGTTCCCGTGTTGGCGCGCGGCATCGAGCAACCAGGACCTCGGGAGAGGGCGAGCCAACCTTCCTCCCCCTCCCCCTCGCTCTTCCTCCCTCTTCGCAAAACGGATTTCGAAGTTTTACCTCGTTTCCGAGGGGGATTATCTTCCTCGGTATAATAGATACGCTCTAGCGGCTCCTCGAAGGTGTCTTTCCGTGTTTTGCGGTCTCCTCGAGCCCGCTGATTAGAGGTAATCGCGGATGCGGCTGGGATGTCGACCTGGTGCGGGGAATTCTGTTATACGGGGTGTATCTTTGAAGAACGACGTTCTTGTTGATATAGTTGGTACTTTTTCTGTGTTAGGAGGCGACATATTGCAGGGGAAGTTTGATTCAAACGTGTTGTTTTTTCATCCAGTCAATAGACGATCTTTTGCTTGACCTTGAAGGGACAGAGTATTTTTTTAATAGATTATGATTTCCTCGAAGAAGATTAGCTTCACAAACACTTCGTATATATAGTAAAGTGTGCAGCCTTTCCACAATACCGCTGTTTTCCTCGCCAGATCCGTCCCGAACCAATGCGCGCAACGCGTCTTATTTTTATATTTCATTGAGACGACGCCGAGATCGCGGACACCGCCATAAATATCTCCGGTGACCTTTGCGCGCGCGCGGTAGCCCGCATAATTCATCCTCGATTATAATGATGCGTTTAGCGCTCCCGTATTAATCAATTCGCCGGCTATTTATCACTCCACCGGCCAATTTGTAATCGTTGCTAAATCAACCATTATTCAATTGAATAAAATCCGGACAGCGAACCAAGTGAGTACGGACACTCATCCGGCGTTTCCTCTCGAAACAACATACAGCGCCAATCTTCCACGTAGAGAGATCCTCTCTTGATAGACAGACCCTACTCACCAGCAAATTACACAACCATGATCCCCACGAGTCTCTCCTATTTTTCTTTCCATCGTTAAAATTCCTCTGGCGCATATTTTCGAAGGTGCCCCATCGATGGACACAACTTTCCGTAATTAACACTTTACCTTCCATAGTGAAAAAAGCCATACGTAGCCAGACATACTTTATTTCGTTTTTTTAAATTTTACTCTAAGTCCTCGATGACTGCTCGAAGGCTCCTCGATACTGACAACGAGATGTCCCCGGATTTAACACTGATTTTTTAATGAGGTTCTTGTTTCAGCCATATATGGCCATTAGCTTATGAAATATTTAATGTTCAGTGCCAAGGAGCCTTCGAACCATATTAATTTCTACCATATTAATTTTACACAAACATATTCTAACAGAATTTAAATAATCCAGTCCCTTTGCGATCTACGTGTCACCCTTATTTGGGTGACGTGGCAGTCAAAATGTTGAGCGAATATCCTCCTTTATACGTTTCTGAATCACCACGCCTGGAACGACGGTATTGCCAGCAGTTTCGGGCGTTGGGTCGAAGAAGGGTCCAACGTTGGTTCCGTCGAAGGAACCAAGCGGCTTTGCGGATTTACGCGGTGTTGTTGGGGCGGCTTTATTGCGTTACACCGAGTTTTTCCGCCGCGGTTCCTCGTTACAACGTGACCCCAAGTATCCTCGTCGTCATCCACCCCGTCGACCACCGCGGAAAAGTAACGTCGGCCACCGTGATGAAGGGAACCACCGACTAACGAACTCCCCGTACGACTCTGAAGTGCTATCTCCACGAGACTCAAAGGCGCCGTAAGAAGTGCCATTAAGGCGGCGATCATATCTACCGATGGTCCGTCTTCGTTTATTAAAGCGCGATGAGAGGGCGCGCCGCCCGGCTTTTTGCCAGACCTGGACCCACGGTCGATAGAGGATCCGTTCCTCGGGCTCGATAAGAATCCGACGACCTGAGCCGAGATACCATCGATTCTTTTGTTCTTGTCGATACCGGCGATACGGCCGGAGATGAGGGGATAGAGTCATGTAGGTTTTAATCGTTTGCGGTATGATATCGGTTGCCGGGGAGGAGCTGCGTGGACATTGAACCGGAGGAAGAGTTAATAGGAGTATTTTTTTTATGTTTTCAGTGGTGGTATAGTAACGTTGATGTTCGAAAGTAATTTATACAATATTTAACAGTTTATGTCGGAGCAGTAAAGTGTTCAAGCTGTCTCAGGTAGAGTGGTACAACCGGACTGATGTAGTTTCTAATAATAATAAATCTAATGAGAAAATTTAGTCGCAAAAAAGAGTAACATTTTTTTAGGTGATGTTTCGTTTTCGAAATAATTTCTATTGAGAATTTGTTGGGTGCACGGGCAGTAGAATAGGTTTGGTTATTGCGTCTGTTCGTTGCTGGCCGTTTCTACTTACTGCTATCACAAATACACGTGATTACGATGAATTTCCAAACCCAATTTCCTCGAGAATGAAACGCCAAACGAAAACATATTTATTCTTTTTTTCGTCTTATTTTTCCTTATAGAACCACCCCTTATCCGATTGTATACCTGGTCTGAGACACCTTGTATATGAATAACGACTTTCGTACCAGTTACGAGTTTTGTCAGACTCATAATTCTCAGCGAAATTTGTCCAAAAATTAAACATTCTACCTTTAAAAAAAAATAATTAACATTACCCCGATTGAAAAGTATTGAAATAACTAGGTAAACAAACGAACAATCACTCTCCCTAAGACTTCCCGTTCTTCGAACGAGGAAAATCTCACCTCTCCCAATCCCGAATCGAGCGACCGGAAGCACACGCATAATTTCGATTCGCGGACAATTTTACAGGGAATAATCGTCGGGACGGTCGATCGGGCGAGGCTTAACGAGGCAATTTACACGTACAGAAGGAGACAGGCTCGCGACCCGTCTTGAAAAAGATCGGCCCCTCGCCCCCTTCGCCACCTTGGCATCGCGATTCCATCGGACTTCGCCTCCCGCGCGGCCGATTCCTTAATTTCCCATATTGTGGCCCCGTCCAGGCCGTCCCAGAAGACGCCCCGCTGCGTTATAGCGCGGTTTAATCACACTACAACCGCGCATCCCTCGTTAGTGGGATATCGTAGAGGCCCCATAATACAAGACTACATTCCACCGGAGCGGATAGGCCGCGAGAGACGCTCCTTTCGCGGGAGAAGCTGCACACGTAGCCTGCACCGCGCCGGTTTTATTGGACCCGCAATAATCGTTCGGGCTCCCGTGATTGGTGGAAAGTGGCGCTCCGTTGATCCTTCACGCCGCGGGATCGTTCGCGGGCACGCAGGAAAACGAATTGCCGCCTCGGACCGATCGTTTTTCCCCCTCCCCCCACCTTGAACCCTCGGGATCATTCTTGTTCCCCCTTAGATCTTCTGGAGGATTCGAGGAAACGTGTGTATAGCGTTTAATGGTCTATTCTTTAATGCTTGTTTCGGTAGTAAAGTGCTACCAAATGATACAAAATGAAACAATTCTGTTTATAGCGCTGAGACTGTGATCTGTCACAGGAGCATTGAATGATCTAAAGGATTGGAATGCTTGCAATCTGTTTCGAATATTTTTACTGCCAGGTCAACTAAATACGGATGACATGTACATTCCAAAGAGGCTGGATTGTTTGAATACCGTTAGAAAATTTTTGTTTAAAATTAATATCGCAGTATAGTTTAAAACAAGATCAAATTCTGTTAATTAAATGCATATATTTGCGACGATTTATAACTTAAAAAATGAAATATATCGTGTCTGCCTCCATACGGCTTACTTCACTGTGGCAGTCAACGTGTTAACATACTCATTCCACTTAGATATAACTATATCAGTCGTACGAAGGAAAAATTAGAGATATAACTTTAACCAATATTTCATACTCTAGGTATTACAGATACAAATTACAATAAATTAACCAAACAATATACTCACTTCCATCGTCTAAACAAGATTCACCTATTCGAACCAGAGGCAACATCCTTAAGGGAATACACGCGGAGACGAGCTGGCATTCGACAGGCAATAAACAGCGTAATATCGTTCCCGCGGAGATAGTCGATCGTGGTTTAGCATAAGAAAGGCTTAGAAGAGTGTTCGACAATGGCTGGTGTGTCTGGCTTTCGCCTTGTTCGAGATTTCGATGACGCCCGATCCCCTCCCTTCCTCCCATCCCCTTGTCGTTCGGCTCTTGGCCCGGTCTGGTATTGGTGCCGGAGGGTAGGACGCAATCAGTGCCCTTGATTTATCGCGGCAATATACATTAAGATACCGACATTAAAACTAGGGGAGCCTCCCGTGGATTCCGGGCTCCATTACCGCTTACGAAAAGAGAGAGGAGCTGTCGTCGCGTTCGACCGTACCGCTCCGAGGCCGACGAAGATTGAATCTCCTCGACCGCCCGATTCGTCGTTCCTGGCCGAATTGCTGGCGCAGCGAGTCGCTCGCTTCCGGTACGCGTCTATTTAGCGATATTAGGGTCTCTGGACTTTGATTTACGAATCCCCACCGACCCGAACTTACGTCGATCTCGAAGACTTTTGGGATTGGAAATAGGGAGTCCAGTTTGGTTTTGGGTGCCCTCTGGTGACATGAACGCGTTTATATGATCGAGGTCACGATGGGGTCTATAATTTCCAGAAATTTAAAATTCTTTAGTAATTCACGTATAGTGAGAAACAATATCCAAAAAACATTCACTCGTCAATTTTTGATGTCTAAATCTTGATAAGTTCTACTATCAGTTGTCTTTTACTTCTTTGGTCTCTAAAAGAAAAGCTAAAAAGAAATAGTAAGCTTATAAGGACCGACCGTAACGTCGGCCAATCGCGGTACACACACATACACAGCTCGCCAGATCCCAGTTGTCCCTTCTTGAGGGACATCGATCGTGGTGTCCCGGTGCCGTTCGGAAGAACACCGAAAGGGACCACGCGAAGAGAATGCTGTCAAGGGGGGCAGGACTGGCGAGCTTTTCCAATACCCGCTCGCCAATTACGGAACAGAGATCTAACCGTAGTAACGTGTAGTGTTTCCACCATTGTCCGCAGGTCCGAGCGGGGCATACAGTCCGGATGCGACGATGGGCTACATGATGGACGGACAAGCGGCGAGCATGATGCACCGGCCGCCCGGTGATCCAACCTTCCACAATCAGTACCATTACCCGCCAGAGTACTATGGACATCACTTATAAAGGTACGTGGGAAAGTAGCCTTGTTTGTTCCGCCCGTTGTCCACGTCGACGCTGACGTGGCGACCACGCGAATTGAATCGATAAAATGCTCGCTGGTTGCTTTCAAAACACGGGATTTGCTACGAGACTTTCATAGGTGTAATAGGGATGACGGGGGAGTAGTGAAAATGCGCGTTCAAAGTAACGATATAAAAGCCAGAATTGTGTTCCTGTCGTTGATTAACCATTTAACACTCACTTCAAAAATTCGTAAAATTCTGTCTCCGGTTAATATGAAACTTTTGTCAGCAAGAATCCGTAGTTCCACTGATTGGAAGTAGATCTCAACTATGTCGGTTCAGAAATTCAAGTATTCCCTTCAAGACTAAACAGAGAAAAAAGAAATTTAATATCGAGATTCTTAACTTCAAAGTAACAAGATACAACATTATAAGTTAAAGGGTTAATACTAAAAACTAGAAGCTACCTTTGGATCACTGTGTACAGAGAGACCCTTTCAGTGAAAGAAAAACTTCTGTAATTTTGCAAGTACGTCTGTAACAAATCTGAATTATTTGATTTCTCGACGGTGCTAGAAATGAAAATAATAGCAATAAAGCATATCCGACGTTCCACGAACGATGGTATATTAACCCGTGCCGCTTTCTCACGTTGCAGCAGTAGTCGCGAGTGAAGGTAGACGATGGAATGACGGTTCTTGCGGAACGGGAAACGTGGAAGCGTGACGGAAGCAACCGTGCCTCCGGTACCGGCGCGAGGGCGAGTAGCGCATTCAGTCGCCTCGCGGGGTAATCAGCGCCGAGTACAAGAAGAAATCTCTTCCCACGTTGCACGCCGGTACGACTCGTGCTGCCGGATATACTCGAGGTGTGGGGCGCGCCCAGGGGCTGCACGATCACGGAGGATCCAAGATGGCGTCGGTCCGGTTCGCGTATACGAAGAGAAGAGGAGAAGAGAGCGTTCTGTGTTCTCGAGTCGAGGGGCACTCGGTTCATCGCGGACGAATGCAGAGGAAGAACGCGTGACGCAGGATCGCCGTGTAGCACTAAGAAAGAGGGAAACCGGAAGAGGGTAAAGAAAGAAAAAAAAAAATGAAAAGAGACCGGCTGGGACGTCGGAACGCGCGAGAGAAACCGGATAAATAGCAAGGAGTGATAAGGCTGGCTGGGGTGTACGCGGCTTTGGCGAACGCGGGCAGGAAGGAAGGATAGTAGCCGCGTGGAAATTCATGTGATTGTTCTGTGTACAAATGTCGCCGTGTAATATTGTAGTGGATCGAGGAATTTAAATGTTAAATTTTAATACGGTCGCGCGTCACGAGCTACGTATGTTAAAACACGATAACGATGGGATGACAGGGAGGCGCGCGGATCAACGCGAGTGATATAGGCAATTTAGCGGATGTGTACATTAAAGGGTGGGGGGCGGGGGGTGGTGATGGGGACTGGAAAGATAGAACAAAACGTCGGAGCCCCGGTTGCTCGGCTACGGGGTCCGTACACCATAGATAGGACACGTCCACTCTGCGGCAAGGACGACGATATAGCGAACCAGGGAAGGCACGATGTATACAGGCGACCGCGGCGGCACGGAGTTTCGACCCGAGACCGAAGATAGAACCGAGGGAATCGAGTACGTATATGTACGTACACAGAGGACACACGCGCCACGGAATCGTGTGTACAGATATATACCGGTTATATAAATAAATATAAATAGAGAAAAGAATTTTAGTAGCGCGTACGCGCGCGCGCGCAACGGCGACGACGACGACGACCGGGCCTGCGTTCAGAAACGAGGATATGGACGATAGAAGACGCGCGGCTCTCGGTACGCGTACAAAAAAATTGGGTATATTAACGTGGACTGAGTTCGTCGCGACGTACACATTTGGTGCATATGGGGTGAAACGAGGAACGGAGAAGGAGGAGGATGAGGAATGGGACGTGATTACGCGTTTATAGCACCGAGGAATGATAATCGACGCGTGTGCCGGACTCGAGGCGTCGACCACCATTCACTTGCGTATATATATTTATATATATACATATATATATATATACGTGACATTGAAATTTGTACAGTTATTAATTATAAATGAATTTACTAATTA